TTTGTTTAGCAGATAAGCCACCACACAGCATGTTTAAAACCATACTGGAGGGTTTCTGAGCTGAGGGGGGTGTGTTGGGACCGTCAGCCTCACCTGCCCGCTCAGGGCCAGGCTTTCGAACGCACGCGAGACATCCCTCTCCCTTTGAGCCTCGTGGTGACCCACAGAGAAAGGAACGGCATCGAGTTTTACCTATAAAATTCAGGGAGCACCAAGGAAGCTCTGGAAGTGTAGACCTCCTCAAGGATAGTCAAAATACAAGCGAGAGCGCAAGGAAAAACATTGTCGAATGTCGCAATTGCATCGGAGCAATTTAATTACTGAAGTGCACTTTCCTCCATAGATGAACTTGGCAATTTAATCAGATTTTGACGAGCCTTTGGCCCCAGGGCCGCTGCAGCAGGCACAGCTCTGCCCGCGGGGCCGGTGCGACGCCAGCCGAGCCCCCCCCGAGCCCCCCCTGCTCGGCGGGGGTTTGCTGCTGCGGAGGCCGGCTGGGAAGGAGGATTTCACAGCGGCAGCAAGCTTCCCACTTCCCTCTGCTTCCATCCGAAGATTACAGAGACCTCGTTAATCACTCCAACGTCGTTCCAAATCAGACCGTGATGCTATGGTGCACCATGGCTTCTCGAGGGGCTGATGTGGGTTGTGCTGTAGAGCCAGCAAAGTTATACACTTATAGAAGTATCCTTCCTACACTTACTTAGGCTTGCCTAAACCCATATGGACTTGTGAAGAAGAATTTAGGATTATTTTATTAGACTCAAATTCTAAGAGTCTCACCCTTTTTGAATAGCATTTTATTCTCCTTTTTTTAGTTCATCAGAATTTAAGCGGGCAGCTTTTCTAGTAGCGCACATCTCCGCAGTTGTGCCAGCAGCTGGCCCAGTTACCTATATCTACAAAACAAATTTCGGCTTTTGTGCTGTGATTATAGCAATCAATCTCAAACTCTCGCTGCCTATTAACTTAATAGATTGTTGTGGATGTCTGGACCTGCAATTCTAATACCGCTAATGCTCATCAAAATTTTGAGAGATCAACGATCAAAGCTTCACCTTAATAAATTAATCAATTCTTTAGACTAGGAATCAATTTGTTGATTTACTCCTAATACCCCTCCCACAAAAGGTAATTCACTGTTACCTCTGCCCTTCAGAAAATCGCTGTATTACTGATTGATGGATTTAGAGCTAAAAGGATCATTATTAAATTCACGATTAACAAAAAGTTATCAAGATAATGCTAGCCCAACTGAAGGACAGATTATGAAATTTTCATATCAATTCTTTTTTTCATGGCAGTTCTTTTTTGTATGTACCAGCTAAGGACAAAAGGACTCACCTACTGGTCCTGTGTTGAGCTCCCACCATTCCTGGGACCGTGTCCTGTCCTCTGCAGACAGCCCACAGAAAAGCTTCTTTTGGGCTCAGGAAACGAGGAATACTCATTTTTGTCAGTCCTCTGCTGTCCCACATATATTATTTTAGTGAGGTTTCCCTCCACCTGCATTAATGATTTGATTGGAAATTTTTGCCATATAAGTGGGAATTACTTTTAATCCTCAAATTATTAGAATTCTTAGCATCCAGGAATGATTTTTGAAGACAAAAAGAAAAGTTTGAAAGTAGTTTTGAAATATTCTTCTGAAAACTAATATAATAGCGTAACTATTGGATGTTTTAATAAAACCCCACCAATTTGAATTAATATATTTATATTAATGGATTCTCTGTCTATGCTAAGCCTTGAGATGTTCTTACTTCAAGACAAACTTTTCAAATATTAACCAGGAAGAAAGGGAGTTAGCCTACAATGCACAGTTATCAGGAGACCAAGGCAAAGTTAGTCTACCAAAGGTGATGATATTAATAATGACATTTATGCTACAGGAATTTAATTAGACTGAAAAAGAATTTGTAGTAAAGATGTCACAATAACTCAAGACAAAATGAAAATCAGTCCAAAGGCATTCAGTCCTTAATTAGTTTGGGAGTAGCAGATTAAAGATAAAGTTAGAAAAATTGGTGGAGTGACTGGCTATTAGGGGCCACTAAAACGTATAACGTCACCTTAGATTTTTCACTTTTTGATGCTTTTAGATAAGACCAAGTGCAAAGTATTTTAAAAAATACAAGAGCCGATTTTTTTTTTTTTTTCCATTCTTCAAAAGATAAAACATTTTTGCTTTTAATAAAACCAATGACGGTCACAAGCCTTGACTGTTGACACTGAATTTTTTCCTAGACGTGATGAAATAATGAGCTGCATGACACCTTGGTTATATATGGAAAATGACAACGCTGTGTACAGACAACATTCAGTTTATGCATGCTGCCTTTCGAAAAACAAGGGAGAAAAAAAGGTGTTTATGATCATCCACAACAAGGTACTTTCTTGGCGTTGGCTTGTTCTGTGCAAAACACATGAAAGGACTAACGAAGCAGAATGTTCACATAAGAACTGGGACGATTTTCAAGCTCCATCGACTGATCTGTGTGCGTCCACATTTAGGTAAGAAGAAAAGAAATCTATGCAAAACATCTTGCAGTCACCAGTAAATGGATTGTAAAGCCATGGGGCTCTGGTAGAGCTTTTCCAGCCGAGCCCTCGTGTCCTGCCTGGCTCCGGGACGCCGATGCCCTTAACGTCAGGGGCGCCTGGCTGCTGCCCACCCCCCCTGATGTCAGCAGCAAACTCGCGCTGGCTGCCGGCCCGAAGCTCACAACATAATATATTGACCAAGCAAAACCAGAAGCCAAACACTTAGGTCGTTCAGAAGGCCTCATTTTAGGTTCTTGTTAAAGGAAGAGACCTGAAAGAGGAAGGAAGTTCACCCAGATCAAAACCCTGGGAAGCTGCCATCTCTGCCCGGGAGGTTATTAGCGCAACATCTCCAGGACCCTCCGAATTGTCTCCCTGACTTAGGTACCAAAGCAAGTCAGGTAAGTGGCCCATCCTTCAGCTTCCAGCAGTACTCGTTTAAAACAAAAAGTAGGGAAAAAAAAAAACACAGAAAAGACAGTAATGTATTGTCTACCTGATTTGGTGAACGAACCTTAACCCTGCATCCTGTGGGATGGCTTCAACAGCCTGTACTGATTTCACGCAATGCATTGGCTTCTATTTTACCCCAAGTGGAACAGACTCAGCAGATTAGGGAAACCCAAAATTAGGAAGAAAACGCATTTAGTAGAAAAATCTAGCACCATATAAATTGCAAACATCCTAATAGGAATAGTGGAGGCTGTTTTGAGAATGGTATTCAACTATATTCCTGCTTTAAAGAATTTCTGCAACAAACCCTATCTAAAGCAAGAACTCAGCGAACAAAACAAAACAGAAGCTTTCCCTAATTTGCATTCAAAGTAGTTAATTTCCTGGATTGACTAATGGATTGTTCTTATTGTAAACTTCATGCACCCACATCGATACTCATTTCTCATCTAAAGAAATAGCCAACAGCAGTGGTAGATTCCTGTCTGCACACTGCATCCCTGTGAACACCTCCAGTGCCTCATTAGCATCGACCCACTGTAGCTTAAATAAAAGCAAACCTGCACTTGCCTAACATTAGTAGTACGGTCTTGAACTGTCCATCTTCACAAATGCCTCTCTCTTTGCCCTTACTCAAGGACAGAGACATTTCCCCCATCTTTCAGATGGCTTAAAGTGCTGTTCTCAGCCGTTCGGTGCTCGGTGCATATGGTGCTCCCCATGCCATCTCCCACTGCAATCTTTCTGCCACTTTCCTCGCTGGCCTCGGGCTTTCTGTACAGGTGCTGCAGCAGACTGCTTCTTTACTGCTGATTTGTGCTGTCGTTATTCACTCCCTCTCCTCTCCTTGGCTCCAGTCAGGCTGTTTTCTTCTATGCTGGGTTGTTAAACCAACGTATGAATAGCAGCCTTCCAAAATAAAAAGGCAGTGTTAAATCAGGTAGGCTTTTCTTTTGACCTTCTATAGGGTCAAAATAGGTTGAAGGTTTTTTTCACCTGTATCTAAACATCTTTCACAGTGGCAAAGGAGTAAATTACATCACATCCATCAGCAGTATGATAGAGTCTTCTGCTGTGAATGTTGGAGTACAAATCCCACAGCCAGTGAGGAGAGGGATTTTGTCTCACCAGTGCACGAGACAGATTACAGCTTCTTCAAACCTCACTTTGTTTTGGTTTCTGTATTAGAATCAAGAGAGATTTCTGAGTGAGGAGCTAAACCAAAGTGTCAGTGGGTGGGTAACCCGCAGGGAGGTCAGCATTTATACCCAGCTCCTCCAGGCCACATCATCTCAGCAGCCTTGTGACACTGGTCCAGCAGTGGCACAAGGGGGTTCAGGTATCCAGGAAGCTCAGCAGGATGGAGAGAAAGACAATTTTTCTATCACAAGTAGGCAGGGAAGAGGGCAACCACAGCAGATGGCAGAGAAGAAGAAACGAACAGTGGCTTGTGCTGAACGACTAGCTGTCAGAGTTTCTGGAAAAAAACAACCAAATCGCCACATAATTGCACGCATCCCTCCCACGCTGCCTTTCACCCCGCACGGAGAATCCACCTGCGCACCCCTGGGGGAACCAGAGGCACAAAAAGGAAGGTGCCCGCACCAGCAAGGCGCTCTGGCCAGCTTCTGATGAGAGCAAGCAGGTCGTGCTCTGCCGGGCAGCGGCGTGGCAGGACCGCTCCTGGCTCCTCCGCTGCCCGGCTCCGGGGAAGCTCAGACCTCCCTCCCCTGCCCTGCCGCCTCCTTCACCACCACGCATCACTCAGCCAACTCTGACCACACCTTTGGAAGCCCAGAACGCTCAAGCCTTGTAATTTTATTGTCGAGGTCCAAGTCAGAGCAGAGAGTTTAGAGTTTACTCTCTTTAACATCTTCTGTAAAATTAATTACTGGTCATTTGACAAAATAAATTGACCTTATAATAAGGTTTCTAAAAATGTAATTTGTGTAATTCTTTAAATTACTTTCTGTACACAGTATCAAGTTCTTTCCCGCCTTACATCTCCCCTAATGCCATACTCAGTGAGCATAAGGCAGGGAAGAATTTAACCTCTAATATATGGCGTATGCACTTATTTCCCTAGGGAACTGACCCGATCTAGGGCATTGGCTATTTATAACACATTCAAAAATAAATCACAAGGCAAAACGGTAGAAAAGCTGTTAAGAAAGGCTATGCTTGTTGATAAAGCTAGAAAAAAAGTAATATAGCTGTGTATTCCCATACAAAGTTACCTTCACAATATGCTGTAAATTTTAAATTGTTACTAAACCCATGTGTTACTCACAACTAAGGCAACTCTCTGTAACGGGCCGCATGGTCAGAGCAAACTGCCCCCGCTGCACGCTCATCAGTCCAACCTTGAACAATTTCTTCCCTCTTTGGCCCACGGGATTTGAGGGCATGGCTCAGGACCAGCTCCCTCTTGAACGAGATGGCCTCATCCGCACTGCACACCCGCCGGGACCCGGGCGGCAATCCTACGGCACAACGTCCGTCCAAGAGAGCTGAGACGACGCCCGGGACGTTTCACAGCTCATCGGAGCTGTGAGACGGCGTGATGGTGAGAATATGCACTGCATCTGTGACAGCAGCCCTGGAGAGGTCCCTCCTGGAGGGAACTAGCTGGCTCGTTTCAAACCAGCATCTAGCGCGGACAGTCAGACGGCGAAGAGCAGGAGCAAGCAACGGAATGAAGTTATTTGGCAACACCGGTGGGCCCTGAGTCATTTCTTGGATCAGATCTTCAAAGATAGTGAGACAGTCAGAGCTACAGTCAAGCTTTGGGAGAGCTTCACAAGGAGCAGACAGTGGATAAATGCTCCAAATATCCTCTTACCTTCTAACTGTCCCGTTTTCCCATTGCTTAATCTTGCTTGTTGCTGCAGTTGCTGTCAGCCGACCACGTGGCACGACGCCGCAGCTCTGGAGACAACACTGGTTATACTGGTGGGCTGAGGACACCGGACAGTTTTTATTCAAAAAAATCTAGGACAGTTGAGGAAAGCTCAGGTTAAGTTGATTCTACTGGATAATCTTTCTGAATAACAACTGCATTTGGCCTGGAGCAGAGGAAAGATTAGAAATTTCCAACCATTAATTCTCTTGAATACAGCATTTCAAGCATTCCTCAGAAGCCCAGAGCATTACCTGCTCATGGAACTACTTTTTCCTCTGCCACCTCCAAAGCAGGCAATGGCAGAAGGTGTCGTGGGCAGTACTTGCCCGTGGTGCTGCATCTCAGCGTCTCCGAGTCGGAAGGTGCACGACTCAGGGGACACCCCCAGGGCTGGCAGGGACTCCTGCAGCCGGGAGGGAAGAGATGGCATTTCAAAACCAACTACAGTTCTTTCATTCTCTCCGTGTTTTTCAGGATAGATGTGAGCATTTGTCCCTTTTCATCCTCCTTGCTAACTTTTATCAGCCGAGAAAACCATTGAAGAATGACACTTAAACAGGGAGACAGCTTACCTGCTCCAGCAAAGCGAGACTCCACTAAGTCACTGCACCAACTTCTTATGATGAAATATTGATGGAAAACACTGTAACACAAGAAGTTTCAAATCGCTCAGTCCTTTATAGACAAATCTTTTCTGTTCAACTGTAGCCTAGCGGTACCAGATCACTTTTCTAACTAACATATCAATAACACTGACTTTTCATAAAGGGCAAACATATCATGTGAGAAATCTCAAAATATATTCATTTTTTTCAATTTGCAAATTTTATTTTTTTCTCATTTGTAATTTTCAGCAGCACACTGTGAAACAAAGGGAACGAGAAAATATTTTTATATTCTGAAGACATAACTTTTCAATCCTCTGTTCACTTTCCGGTGGCAAAAAGGAAAAGGAAATAAAATAAATTGGAAAATTTTTTTTGTACTAGAATTACCCCAAACCGTGATCAATGCTTTTTTTAACAGGGAAAGCTGAAGAAATCAAAATGTTTTCATGAAACACTGATTGCAACAATACTCTGACAAAATAGTTTTTCAGTCAAAACTTTTCACTGGGTCCACTTAACATGGTACGTGTAGGCTCAAAAACTTGTTTCTAGAGTACCAGAAGGCCAGAGGGTTTTGTCTCACTTAGCTGCTTTTTTTTTTTTTTTCAGAATAAACTCTACATATCCCTTGAGGTCTTTGCAACTGCTTTATGGAGCTACATAAACTCTCTGCCTATCTTAGATGTGCCGGATCAACTCACATCCTAAGCGTGGGGTCGTGGTGGAGCTCCAGCCAGCAGAAGCTTCGCGGCCGCAGGACGATGGGCACGAGAGTGCTGCTGCACCTCCCCGGAGCCATCAACTAATCTTTGGGATCTAATTAATGACACAAATTATTGGTTGACCTCCTAGTGAAACTATGCGGAGTTCTAACTAATTGATAAAAAACTGAAACTACCAAGGATGTGCTGAAGCTTTGTTCGGTAAGCTTTGACACAGAGGTGCTACATACATTGTCTCTGGCATGTTGTGCAGAGTTTAGTGACACAGATCGAGAGGCACCAGATCATGACATGCTGCAAACATGAACTTGGTGAGATTATGCGAGTAAAATATCCTTGCCTGAAGCCACGCCACCTTGCTGGGGCAACATCCAATCTCTCATGCCAAGCTACATAAACCAGGGTAATGAGTGAGGAGCACTTAGATGGCCCAGGAAGGGACACTCGGTAGTCAGCACGTAGCACACTGTCATCTTGGTCAGAGGCACATGAATTTCTAGCAAGGAAGGGACACCTTGCCTTTGCACGAGTGCCTTTTGGATGAGTGGCAAAACCCAAAGGACAGCTGAAATAATTACGGATCCTGTTGTGGAAGTTTCTCACACAGGTGTTTTCGTGGTGTGAATATAGCTTGGAGACTTAAGAGCCCTTTTGGGCTGTTCAGGAATAAATGAAACCATATACCATCCTCTAAGCTCTTTCAAGAGAAAAAAAGCTGTGCGTACTTGCAACCACACCAGGCAGTCTACAATCAGAAGGAGAGAAAGAGCGGCCAAAGCTGAAGGTATCTCCTTCCCATACAGAATATATTCACTTCTTTCCTTGAGCTCTCTCTCTCTCAACTGCACCTTTTATTGACAGATGCAAAGGAAGACTAATGAACTATTGATAACCCTGGCACAAAGGATTATTAGACAAAGCAATTTTATTTTGTGGGCATTGATTTATATGTCCCAACCCCAGTACAAATGGAAACGGTAGTTTAGACAGATGAACTTGAATGCTAAACAGGTGGTCATCCTGTTTATTCCTAATACCTGGCCTCAATGCACTTACAGATACATTTAAATGTACCTCTGTGTACTCTATATACTTATAGATACACTTGAAGAGTTTCTAGATAATTAATGGTATTTGGAGAGAAACCTAAAGCAACATAAAAGCAGGGCTGCTGTTCTGAAGGGCAGGAATCTTGACAAGCCATCATACTGAATAGTTTTAATTTGAACTGGTGATTCCCAAACACACAAAAAAAAGGAGATGTCCAGATACAGAGGGAATCCACAAGTAAAGATATGTGGAAAGAAGGGGCTTGTCCTAGAACACCTTAAGCAGCCTATAAGAAGTATGAAATTCGGTGGCCTGAGAAAAAAAGGAGGCTGAAACAGGAGAGCTTTTAGCATTTTACTGCAGACACAACCACAGACCCGTCCACCATCAGTCCGTGGTGATATCCAGGAACTCTGTCCAGAGCCTCTTGGAGAGCTGGAGCCCGTCCAGAGCCAGTGAAGCTGCTGATTAGAATCTGTGAGGACAAAAACTGTCTGATCCTGAGAACCAGGCAGACATGGCATCCAAATTTTAATTCTCTGCTTCTGCGGCATTCATCTGACATTTAATTTGACAGCAACTGCTGCATTAAGGGCTGTCTTAACCCAGATGGAATTATGAAAACAGTAGTGAAATTTGTCCTCTTACCCTGGTGAATCCAGAGGGAAATTTCAAAGACTAAAACACAGAGGCCTAATTTTGCTGGCTTCCCAATGGCAAATATGTAGCCAGCACCCACTTTTGTCTTGAAAAGCTTCCTCTAGCTCTCCTGGTGAGTAAATAATCATCTCTTAAAAAGAACTGCCATTGGCCTCCCCACCATCATGATTAATACTTAATCCCTCCAGATCACAAGCTCAGATAACACGGTATGAAGGGCACGTACACAAGAAGTGATCCGACAATGCTAAGGCAAAAACAATCCCCAGGATTTCCAAGAGAAGGCTGTTCCGCTTGCAGTTTCAGTCTAGAAAACAGTAAAATAAAACTGCACTTTCATGAACTTTTAGAAGAAAAAGGTTTAGTTGTTTGCTTTTTTTTTTTTTTTTTTTTTTTTTTTTTTAATACAAGCCACAACAAGAGGACACTTCCCTTACCTCAGGCTCTGTTAAACATGACACTCAAAAGCCATCTCCAGTACTCCAGGGATTAAATTATTTTCTGAAAGCCAATTCTTTCCCATCGTTATTACTGGTATAAAGCTGTGAGGTTTTTTGCTTCCCCCCCCTTTTTTTTTTCCAATGCTAGAAATAGATTAAACTGGCATTTCAGGATGCTGAGGTGCATTTTCAGCTGAGCTCTGTGGTTCACAGCGATTTATCAAAAATGACAAGATTCAACATCCAGGAGATGTCTCATAGTGCCCAGGAGCTCAAAGAACATGCAGCAGTTCCAACAGTAACCAGAGAGAAATAAGGAAATTGTTAGAAAAAGAACCATGTGGTCCTTGAAAATCAAGGGACTAACATGAATTAGAAGATGCTGTGCTGATCAGCACTGTCCATTAGTGAGCAACAAAGAGTCACTGCCTGCCTCCTCAAAATGAAAAAGCAGGGAAAGCTGCCCTTCATTTCAGCTCCAAGGGCTGTTATAAACTTCCTCGCAGTTACCTGTCAGAGCCTCCAAGATGCAGAGGTTTTCTCCCGTTCCATTTGCAAACAGCTTGGTATTAGCTGGGAAGTGATGAGTGTCTATTTGTGGTCACTTTTTCTAAGTTAAGCTATCAATGGAACAGTAAAACTTAATATTCTGTAAGTGCATTCTCTTTTTCACACGTGCACGCACAGCAAATTACGATATATTTGAAAAAGGCTAATAAAAAACTGCAATATCTGGACAGTGAATACTTACAAAGTACAAAATCATCTCCTCTGCATAATCAGCCTTCGCTTGGATCACCCTGCCTAAGCTAATACTTATGATTGAGAGCCACCTTGCACCCAGACTGCATCATTTCTACTAAAATTAATCTACTGTGGGTGGAAGGGAGGCACTGACAGAGGCTGGATTTCACCATACCAGAAGCAGCAGCACCTTTTCCTTGTGCCAGAACAGGTCCAAGCCCGCCCTGTGCTCTGTTGCTGCAGAAGCCCTCCTCACACAGAAATAAAATACAAAAAACCTGGGGCTATTTCCAAGTCCCCCCCAGTGAGCCAGGTAGGACTCTGCAGAGAGAGACTGGCTGCCTTTTTCCTCTTGATTCCTGTAACGAAAGTTAAGGGAAAAGTTAAGGATTCCTACAGTGAACGTTAAGTTAATTGGAAACACCAACACGTGGTGCTCTGTATTATTGTGCTCTCTAGGTAATTTTTATTTAGCGGTGTCGGTCTCTCGCGTGTACATGGCAGGTGTCTGTGTTGTCTCTCTGTGTCGCTGCCTGTATTTTCACCTTGGACAGACTGTGCTTTCAGCACATTAGGCATCCTCACATCCTCATCTGCAGCCAAGGGAGCACTGCTCTGTGTTACACTTGCACCTACCTTTCATTTAGGTGTATTTCAGAAAGGGCATATTCCAAGGTTGTACACAATAACAAAGAGATAACATAAAAAAAATTCAGTATCATAGTACATAAACTCAACCACCTCAAGTCCACTCCAATATTTCATTAGCTATTTCACATGCATAAACTGAGCTGAAGTAACTAGAGCTGTAGACAAGGGCAGTGAGTATAACCACAGCCAGATATGAGAGCACCCAGGTCTCTCCTAATAAATAACGATTCTAATAAACCCCTATAAGAGACGTCCATTACAAAGCCATAAGCTTGCATAGCAGAAAGGAATCTGAAAAAGAGAGCTCCACGGTAAGAGAAGATCTGCACTCAGGTAGGACTTCACAGGTCTCCTAATTTCTTTGGAGCAGTCAAAGGCAAATTCCTGCATGGAGCAATAACGCGCTGGCCATCCTCCCCTCCCTCCCGTGCACCAAGACCTTCTCCTTTACAGATGTGGAAATAGCCTGAAGGAGTTAGGCTAATCCAGATGAGAGCGAAATGGAAATAACTCCCGTAAAACCTTTGGAAAAGCTTAATCCAATCTTCTCTTCTCAACTAGATATTATTCCCCTTTCACTTGCCCTCAGTGGTGATAAACTGCAGACAAAAGCGATAAGGGACTCACACACCTCGCATTTAACCACTCGTAGTAAATACACTTCTCGCTTTTGCTTATCTTACAGCCTAGTATGGATTTCCTTTTAGTAACCTCCTGAATTACAATCAAATTATACTTTCAGGGCCATTGAATTGCATGACTTGCAATACCTTAATGGGTTCTGTTCCGGCTCCTCAGGAAGGACTTGTAATCCCTGTCGTCTTCTATATTGCAGTGAGACTTACGGATATGCCTCACTGCTATGCAGAATAGCACGTACCCTACATTTAGCAGAGCAAGTTCTGTGCAAACAGTGCATGGGTGAGTGAACTGCCTCTTCTAAGAAAAATTTTAATAGCATATGTTTCTCCTTTTGCCTTGCAGTGACAGTACAGGGTCTGAATGGTACAGTAACTCCTGAAACTCTGTCAGACATTTATTCAATTTGATTTAATGGCGCACAGTCTACATGCCAGGTGTCGGATGCTCTGCAAACTATTTGAAAATAAATGAAAGTATTAATGCTCAGAAATGGTGCGGCGTGCCACATTCCTCTTGACACCACTGACAGCACGTTTCTTAGATATGTTTTCATCCTATAATGCAGAAATTGTCGCTTGCTTAGTTATGGGCTACGCAGCCAAGAAAATATAGTATCTGGTCTATAGCTGTGCTGAAATCAATTTCTGAATTATACAAACGTTTAGGTAATTGAAATGAGAGAGAAGGAGAATCAACGCAATCTCAAAGTCCTAAAGAGACCTCTTGTCAGGACTAATTGCTCTCCCCTGAAATTCTAAAAGTCAGGATGGTGTCCAAGGTAAACGTGCTGATTCCTCAGAAGCCAGCGCAGCTGCACAGCTCTTCTCCTCCTCCTCCCGGCTCCCCCACTGAGGAACCAACGTGAAAACCAGAAAACACGTATATGTTTATATTACTCACACAGGACTAAGCCAAGAGCTACAGCGCTGTGCATCTCCTCTCCCATACTGCCTGACAGAGTAAGAAGTACATTCTTTAGTCCTTGTCTGCAGCCAGAACAGCTCGTCACCTCGTAGTGATCCTCTGGCTGAGACTCAGTCGTCACTGTGGCCGGTCACTTCTTCAACTGGGCAGACTCTGGGGCAGAGGCACTCAGCTGGTTTTGGAAATCAGATCTTTTAAGGTGTTTTATGCTGACTTCCTGATGAGTTTCAATAAACTTGACAAGTATCTTTTCCTGCTCCCTCCCCCAATACTTAGGTACTATCCTGCAATTATACTGAGTAATAAAATAACTTCTTCAATAAGGTATTTCCAAGTACAGTTCAATGAACACATGAATAAGCAAATACAGTGGTAGATTAAGGGATTATTGACATAATAAAGTAAGAAAATGAAACAAGGTATTGAGATTTTGAGATTATACTTTGCAACAGTGGACAAATTATCTGCTGCTGAAGAGAGGTTATTATTTTTGGAGGGCGTATATGACATCTCTAGAAAAAAGATCACAGTAGGTATCTCTGAACACTTCCTCCATTGATAGCAAATCAGGGCTACGTAAATAATTAAGAAATTCTGCTTAGAAGACAAAGCATGTAGACAAATTGCTTAACTTTCAATACTGCTGATTTTTCATCAGTTTAAAAAGTGCCATACCACCACCCCACCTACCCCAAACACAGAAGAACTGGAATAGTCAGAGCTAATTTTCAAAGTTTCTATTGGTTTGAGCAAAATCACTTTTTCTGTGGGTATTCCCACATAGGGGGTACCTTACTTCCATTGACTTTGCTCAACATCTTGAAGAGCAACAGCACTTACAAGAAAGCAGTTATTTAACAGAGATTACAAACATGGGGATTGTCTGACCAATGCAATTCTCATTGCTTTCCAACAAGCTAAACTACAAGTAAGCTTGGATCTGGGGAGGATCTGAAAGGATCCCAGGTATGCAAAATGCCACTCCTGTACCTAACAAGGTAGCTCTTATTTAGTAGATTTTACAGCTACTGCATCAAAACCACCAGCAGAGACGGCACGGTATTAGCGTCACGCCGGGTGATTTTCAATCCGAAAGCGCAGCGAGGGGCAGTGCGGACACTGCGGGGGGAGGAACGCCTGCACCTTCGAAGAGCAGACAAACGGGAAGACTTTGCTTCTACAGGAACCAAGCACGCGGCGTGTCAAAATAGCAAAGTTTGAGGCTCGGCGCCACGGGCAGAAGTCATCTCCCCCGCCGCCCCATCGGCGGGGAGAGCCCCCAGCGGGACGGTGGGGACCTTCCCCCACGCGCCAGCACGGTGACCTTGGGCAGCCAGCGGCCCGTGACACTCACACTTTTCAGCCAAGTACTTAATCACCAGGTCCACTAGGAAAAATTACACACTCTGGAGATAATCAGAGTAGGAACTTCCTCTGCCTGCAACTACTAGGTACAAGATAAAAATCTCTCTTCTCCCTTTATTCCATCGTGCTTTTTTTTTTAAATGTTATCATGTTTTTTCCAATTGTATTCCCAATAAGCCATCAGGTAAGAAATAGTGTTTGCCAGCCCTGAAAAGAAGTAATCTTTGCTGGCAACATCATTTATCAGGATAGGGGAAAAAAATGTTCAAATAACATGTAGGAGGAAACTTCCCCATAAGACAATTTGAAGAGCTGTCGACAGGCACCAGATGAATGGAGAGAAGCACTGGACGCCGCACACCAAGCAGAGAAGAGAGGGAATGGTTTTCAGCAGCACTGGCTTCAAATGGAAAATTAATTTCTTTCTGACTGGGTCCAAAGTGCTTTTCATCCTCACCTTCCTTCAAACACCCCGGGATTGGAGTCTGCTGAGTGCAGCGTGTGATGAGAAGCGATACGCCAAAGGGGGACATCGCATCCCACACAGCCCCAGCTCAGCTCCTGTGGCACCTGCGAGGTCACGGAGGCCCTTCCAACATTCACACACTGTGTATATTGGACTAGAATATTCATTATTTGTGCCACACGGCTGGGGGAGAAAGCCTGCCTCCATGATTTGCGAGTATAGTTAAGGCCTCGGCCACGCCGCAGGATTTCTGCTGGCCACACCTGGCACTAGTTTCTCCCAACGTTAATGTTTCTGATAACAAAACAATTTCTACCTTAAAACAGACATGCTGCATTCACATGTGTAGAAAATGGGTGAATATTAAAACAGACATCGTGAATATTTGAATGCATTTGCAAATATCCCTGCCCTTTTGTGTTTTGCACAAATATTGAAAAGGAAACCTTCCTGGGAGAGACATTCACCAGCACAGAAAGTTTTTAAGAAGTAACTCACTTAAGTTACAGCAGATATTCACAAAACAGATACTTTAAATTGGTGTGTATTCACAGGAGAAGGTTGATTCTAGGAACCTCCAATTAGGCAGCAGAAACTTTTCCTACGGCTTCCTCAGAAAAGAACTAAAGAAAAAGACTTACTTTGATATATTTTTCAGCAAAGATTTTTGAAATTGGAAATATAAATGTGAGGAAAAGACAAACTTCACCCGTAAATTATTCACTCAGCATTGTGAGGGAAGGAGATGCCCCAGCAAGCCAAGCTGGAGGCAGCAGCTACATGTAAGTCAAGTATATTAACTGTGTGCAACCAGCACCTGCATAGCTAGTGTGTACCAGCTTTCCTGAAAGCTCTAAACTGGGGTCCCCAGCCCAGGGATCTTCCTAATTAGAGTAATTTCTAATAATCTAATCTTGCATCTTGACACACAGCAACATGTCAGGGAGGTGGGTTTCTGTGCACAAAACCCCGCAGCCACCGACTCCAGCCACCTCCATCCCCTACCTTTAGCTAAGGTAGCTGTAATTTTAATCTTTAAAACAGACAGAATCGTCCCTTTTCCTTTCATAACTCTTTGCACTGTGGTCACTTCTGTTTTTATGTCAGCCTAGTGTTTATGATAAGATGCCTAACACTAACAGAACCTAAAGCATTATCAACAACAAATATTTAACCTTTCAGTTGACATGATAATAAAGGGGCATGAAAACTTGTCCATGTAATTCCACCTGGAGGCTTTCTTTGACACACAAAACATTGTACAGTTGTCCAGTTTTGTTAGATTTCCTCACGTAGATGAGGTTTTCAAACAAACCAAATTCATAATATTACCCGATGTGTTCATCTTTCTTTCCATGGGAATATGGAATGGAAAGTCTGTGAGTAGGAGGTAACACCACAAACAAGAACAAGTACTGGTTTGAGGGCTTGAAAGTGGAGCTTTGAATACTCTGGCCTGTCTCTGGATTTTATTTAATTTACAGAATTTTATGGTTTACAAGATGGCCCAACAAGGATAATTAGACTAGAAACATGCCCGACAATTCCAAACGCTCTCTGTCAAGCATATGGGCTAACACCTATTTTTATTAATTCTCTGGTTTTCAAGGGAGATACAGTTGAATTAGAAGCAGTATGTAGGTGGCTCATTTTTTGCCTCCTCACATTCCCTTTGACAGTAGTTTGAAATAGCATTCATCAAACAGTACAAAAAAAGTTGAAAGAAATTAATTAAGCAACCTAGGAGGAAAAAGAAGACGTCTTTTCAACAGTACTTTGATTATTCAGTCCTATAGTGCTGCATATTGTATTTTTCTGAGCAGAAAAGGCAGAATAATGCAGTACCTCTGCACAACTGTGAAACATCCCATTTTGAGCATCAAGTTCTGAAACAGAAGTAACTGAAACCACTTTATCGAAGCTCTGCTCTGAAACTCGTCAGTACCTCATTGCTGGCATCGCTCCTGCCCTCGGTCCTTGCAGCAGGACCCCACGGGGCCAGCACAGCTCGGCAAACGTCCGCTCAAATTCCTTCATCACAGCAGCCCTCCTCCAGGAGGAACCGAGGTTTTCAGGTCCTCCTGAGATTCCTCCTGCATTTTGGCTTTAAGGGTTGAGAGCAGAGATGGTAATGCCATGCTTCGATTTAATTTTATCAGATTAACAAAATCCTGTTGTGTTTTTTTTTTTTTTTTTTTTAAATCCCGCCCCGCCCTGGTCCCGGTGCCACGGCATGCCCTGTGCCAGGGGATGGGGCACGGGCCACCCCGCTGCCCTCCCGGTGCCCAGCCAAAATAACCAGAGTGGACCTGGAACTCGCATCAATCCTCCGACGTACGTGGCCTAAAGAAATCCTAATGGAGCAGGAGACTGCTCACCAAATTAAATTCTGTCTATCTAAACTAAACAACTACTTAGGTACAAAAAAAAAAAATAGCTATGAAAACATGTACGTAAAGACCCTCGTGCCTATTTCTGATTGCTGGAAGACTCCCAGCTACTTTATTGAACACAATCCTCAGGTAATTCCTAATTTCGTGATCGTATTATCTGTTCTTCAGTGTAATAACAAAGAAAAGACCACAGATAAAATGGCACCAGGTTCCGTGATTCACAACGAATGTGCTCAGTACTAAGAAGCCGTGAGGAAAGGATTAGCTGTGCCTTATGCAGGCATCTTCTAAAACACATAATTCATCTTTCTCATCGGGTGCTGGTTTTACACGAGCATCTCTTTGCCTTCCCATCTACCCGGCTTAGGGGCTTCTAGCCCTTACCAGCAACCTCCAAGAACAGAAGCAAGCTTGTCAGCAGCAGCGCATCAACCTGACTAAACCTAGCTTGCACTCGAGGACAGGACTGAGCGCAGGAAATCTGGATTCTCCTTTTCTGCCTCCACTCCCACCTCACCTCGGGCAAGGCTGCTGAAGCCAGGTCACCAGTGGAGCAACCTCCCTCCGGCGCTTCGGGGTGGTGGGTGCTGGAGTTCAGCACGTTGAGGGCCAGGAGCTGATCCGCTCTGACACTCTTGTTTCTCTCTGTAGAGACGGGTAGGAAATGCTGCTTCCAAGAGGCTCTGGAGGACTTAGTCTGTAATTGCTTGTAAACCACTTAAGTGGTAAGTGATACAGAAATCCAAAGTGGTAATTGTAATAGAGGCTTGAGATTAATCTATTTTTGGCATGTTAGACATACTTATGGACTTGATTCAAGTCAGTTACTGAAAACTGTAAAGTATCCAAAAAGTCATAGAAAAAAATGGTGGGATTAAAACAATTCCAGAGGTAGATCAAATCTTCAAAACACTCTCTGAAACCTATTGTTATGACCTGAAGATGAAGCCCTCTTGAACATTTTCTGTTCAGAACAGGAGACAGAGACCTGGGAAAAGCCATGGTAAGTTTTATGTCAAATAAAAGGTGCTCCAGCTTTGGATTCCCAGGAAAGTAAGTGACAAGAGGATGCAATTCCTCTTCTGCTTATCCCCAGAGAAAAACTGTGCTAGGCAAGTCAGCGAGCAGAGGCAATGGAGTCTGCCAAGAGGGGCTAAGGTCCCCAGTGTTAAACTTTTCATCATCCAGGATCCAGGGTTGAGACTACTGAAGAACAGATACTGGGTTAGACTTTGCTCGCCAGCCCTCAAGTGAACCGTGACTAAGAGAAGACATTAATTAATGACTATGGCATGGAAACCACAGGCAGAGTGGTATCATTTGGTATTATTCTCCACGTCACACAGTGAAACTGCCAGTGTGCTAATACACTATTTGGTAAGAGCAAAGGACCCAGAAACCCTTGGTTTATCTCCCAGAGACAGGTAACACCAGTTTACTATTAAGTGCTAGAAACATCCTTTTTCCCCATAAAGCTGCAACTTGCCCAAACCTTCCACAAACATTCACTTTACGTAGCCTCAAGGTCAAGATTACCCTTTATTAAAAAAAAAAAAAAAAAAAAAAAAAAATTCAATCATTTCCTTCCCATTTACTTTGGATTAGTGCATGTTGTGTCAATAAGGACAAATGAAATTTGCAGGCCAATATAAACTCTCACTGTGGTATGAATGGTGCTTTTTTTATAGACTTTCTACAAAATAAAAGGTGACTGATGCCACAATATGTTTTAATTATTTTCTTCATAAACTATCAAATTAAATTTTAAGAAGCTGGAGACGTTATCTCTTATTAAATTGTGACTGAACTCAGAGATGTAACTTTTAATGAAACTTTCCACACCAGAAAGCTTTTTTGTAATTTTAATAATTTTCAGCAGCCTGCCATGTACAATATCTTACCAAAGCTTCTTATTTTCAGGTTATTGCAATGGACTCCCATTTTGTGTGAACCAGCAAGAGCTTCCCCATCTGCAAGCTCTTTGCTCGGCCACAGTCCAGCCCCCTGTATGGAAATATCAGGATTTTCTACCACACATCACCGTGCTCCGTCATCCCATCAGCACAGCGGGCAGGAGGTTGTTGCGGGCAGCCCTTGAGCCCTTCAACCCAAGCCCAGCCCAGCCACTCTACATACAGCAGCAGGAGCAATATTTAGCCCTTCTGAGCCACCTCATCACACACAGGCTCCGATATTTTATCTGGGATTTTCTACTCACCGTATCATGAAGTACCGTCCCAAAGAGCGGTACAGAATATCTCAATGATGAGCACTGCAGCACCAGGTAAGCCACAGCATACCTGGAAAACACGTACATTAATCACCACCATGTTCAAGGGAAAACTGTTTTCACTAAGTTAAGCAGCAATACAGTCTCGATTTAGTGAAGAAGAAACAGAGAAAACTAATCTGCAAGTATTTGGCTTGTAACACTTAATGATGAAATCATGGCACATTTTGGGGCCAACCAGCAAAATACAAAAACTGCAGAAGTCACTGGATCATATTTTTGGATCATGCCTTAAGGGAAGAAGAGCAGAAACAGAGAAGAAAATGCAGCAGCTGGTAAAAAACATAAATAAGAATAAGATAGAAAGCGGAGAGAAGAGGAAACACTGAAGTTGCCAGGAGAAAAAAAGAAAGGAACAAAGAAATTGAAAAAAGACTCTCAGTCTGCTGAAGTTTTCACAATTTCATAAAATGTATTAATGTAGCAGAGAGACAGGGTAAATAATCCACAAACCAGTCTCTGCCTCAGATAGGAGTGGAGTATACAGGTTATTTATTTTCTTATTTCAAGCTCTGTCAGTCGGTGTGGTTCACCACGGCGAGTCCCCGACCTCCCTCCCCTGTGCCCTTGTGCAACTCATTACAGCTGATCTGTTGACCAAGATCTTTTTGGTCACACAGTGACGGTCCCATGGGCTCAATTTCTGTGTCCTCCTTTTGGCCAGTAATACCTAAATCAGATAATCAGAACACTAACAAACCATCGCTCATCAAGTCAGGGATATAAACACTATTTTTTCCAAATAGAAATTTCTTTGTTGTAAGTGGTAAAATACTGGTGTGCTGCTTTTTTTTTTTTTTTTTTTTTTTTTAATTTTATTCATGAGCTAAAGTGACTTTGGACAGTCACAAAATACTGGTAAAATACTGGTGGGTTTTTTTTGTTTGTTTGTTTTTTAAAATTTTATTCATGAGCTAAAGTGACTTTGGACAGTCACAAAATACTGGTAAAATACTGGTGGGGTTTTGTTGTTTGTTTGTTTTTTAAAATTTTATTCATGAGCTAAAGTGACTTCGGACAAAGCAATTTTTTGCTGTGCTCTGAACAGATGGTTGTTCCAAGAATACCAGCATCCTGGCAGCGTCAAACAGACTCGACCTTCCCAAGCAGCACTGCAGACTTTTTATTAAAAGCAAAGAAATAAAGAACCACCTATGTATTTCCAATTTTTTTCGGGATTATTAAGACACTGCCCATGGCGCTAGACAATGCGGGCACACGCTGCATTCAAAGAAAATATGAAATTCTGCCTCAGAGAAGCGAGAACGGCTTCTGGAGTTGTTGTGCCATGTTGGTGGTGCACAGCCAACTCCAACGTCGCTTCAGACCCAGTCTGCAGGAGCAGAAGAGAGGAGGGATGGGCTGTGAGCCCCCTCCATGCCACCTCCAGCTCATCCTGCCCTAAGGAGAGCTGCTGCTGCACACCCCAAAGAAAAACCTCCCAGCAGCCCACAGAATATCCCAATCCTAACGTTCAGGGTTTATTCAGCAAGGGGCTGGTTATAATTTCTCCATTATAAATAGCTGAAGTAAACTGTAAGCCTTCAGCAATCGTTGGCTAGCACAGCTTTAGGGATCTGTATCAACAGAGCCTTCAGAGGGAAGGTAGCTCATTTTTTCTGCCTTTTTTTTTTAATATAAATAAGCCTATTTTTAAGATCATTTGAATATGACCTGTGCTAACTTTTTCAGAAACCACACAAAAAATCCAAGTCAATTTTACTGCACTGCTTTTTGTTAAATCTCTGTGTCCTTAATCTCGAGGAAGAGAGAGGCCCATTATCCTCCTGGAGACAATTTTGCTTTTTTACCCTATGTGAAATACGTTGTACCTGATTGCTGTCTACAAAGAAATAAAAAGTTTGGGGGACAGCGCCCAGGGAGCAACTCTTGCCACTAGATCAATACCTCATTACATGTTAAACATAAAAGTTAAGCCGCCTTTAGTTTCTAGTTGACAAAGAGGGGCATAAATACCCACGCTGTCTTTTGGGGGATTTTGTGCAAATTACTCACTTGACCTCTTTCTAAGAGCAAATGAAAAGATGTCACCCTTCCTGCAAGCACTGCCTCTTGCCCGCGAGCTATAAAATATCGCAGAGGGATTTTGAAACGAGTCCCGTGTCAGCCAGAGAACGTGAACACAATAATCTCAGCGGGTGTCCCCTTAGATGATAAGACGAGGATTGCAAGTCGGATGGAGTCAAAGAGCTGAAGCTCTCCTGCATTTCCAAGACAATCATGTGCGAAAAGTGGTTGGGCCAAAACAGTCGGACTGCTGCAGCCCCGCTTTAATGCAGGAGGCAATTACGGACTTTTGAGGCGCGAGCGCTATCGGAGTGAAATCCTTTCCATTTGGAAGACA